ACAATTTATAAACAGAAAGAGTACAGCTTGACAATTAGGTTAACAATTTGGGTAGATTTTGAAATTTGCTCAATTTATTAATTAAATGAGAGTGAAGAAACTTAGGAGGGGATGTAAATCCTGTATCCCTTGGAAAAAAGTAAATACAACAAGATCGTACCTGGATAAAGTGTCATTACACTTCAGAAAAGGTATTTACTTGGGGCTTTGCACAAATCCAAAGTTGTTTCCCTAGTTTGTCAAGCCAAAGGGTTCTCCACGACAATTTATAAACAGTAAGAGTACAGCTTGACAATTAAGTTAACAATTTGGGTAGATTTTGAAATTTGCCCAATTTATTAATTAAATGAGAGTGAAGAAACATAGGAGGGGATGTAAATCCTGTATCCCTTGGAAAAAAGTAAATACAGCAAGATCGTACCTTGATAAATTTGCCCAAATTTATTAAGTCTTCTTTGGAATATTGGTGAAGTAGAGGCCGGTTCAACCGGGCGTGTGTGGGGTGCCTAACACCTTCCCACACTGTACCTTGGTTGCAAGATGGGAGATCCATCATATGGATGGCCGAACCCTGCAGGAAGGTTGGGAGAAATTTCAAAAATTTCTTTCTCTCCCATTCGGGAATCGTATTCCCTAATTTAGCAAACTGCATTTTCAAGGTTCGTTCTTGAAACAAAACCAGACCAGATCTGAAACCAAAAGGGAAGAGAGGGATATACTTGATATGAAGTAATAGTAACTCCCAACGTAGGTGTTGGGAGTAACACCACTTCCTGGTTAACCAAAGAAAGTGGTGTAATTCCATGTGAACCTAAGATGATTCACATTGGTTGAACCACTAGTTTAGGAAACCTTAGGTTAGCCCGTAGGTCGTGTCTTTGAATTGCTTGCGTCTTTTTTAAAATTTAAAAAATTCAAATTTGAATTTAAAATTCAAAATTCAAATTTTAATTTAAATTTCAAAATCTAAATTTGAATTTAAATTTCAAATTTGTAAAAAAATTAAAAGATATCAAATTTAAAAACAAAATAAAATGAATTCAATGGCCAGAGTTTGTGGAATGAGAAACTACTTCCAGCCTAAGCCACAAATAGATTGGAACCATGTGCCTCGACAACTGGACAAGATTAATGGGATGGCCCAAAGACTTTACGAAGTCCTTGCATGTCATCAACAAGTTACCCCGCTTGTTTTTTCAGCATTAAAATAGAGGAGAAAATCTC